ACTCCTTGATTCAGCGCGGCAATCACCTCCTGGTACTGTATTTTGCAATAAGTCCGAGCTATTAAAGAATTTGATGATTGCTCCTCCGCTAGGCATTAGCGATCATTACTCCATCAGCTACATTTCTGATTCCCCCAAGTACATTTCTTCACCCACCGTGTGCAAAAAATTTTTGGAGAGCGACTATGCTCAAATATATGGCTACCTCGTCTGTTGACTGGTACGGATCGTTTCAACGCTGTGCCAATGTCAATAAAATGTATGAACCCTTCATTACCGTTCTCAGGCATGTAATCAAGATGTTTGTTACTGTTGCTGTAAAGTCAAGTAACAGGCACTCCCTTCCACCCTATATTGTGCAATTTTCCAACTTACATATGTGCTGAGGCTTGAACCCGTTTAGTTGAATTCAAGGTTCCTGAGGACATGAATTAATTACTTACGGCTAAGAAATCGATTTCTCAAAAAAGTTACGGAATTCAATTTAAGTGTCGAGAGGAAGGTTATAAGTTCTAGAATCAGGGTCGCATTCTAAAAACGTTATCCGCCAAACTCAAAAGTCGAAATGACATCTGTACTCTCGAGGATGCTGAGGGAGATCTTGCTTTCTCTTATTAAACAGTTTTCTGTCTCTAATATTGTTTGTGAACAAGAACTGGTTTCTTCTTTGCCTATTTTCCCTAGAGAGCACTCCAGGCCCCATCCATTTTACTATGAAGACCTTCCAGACAATTGTGAATTGCTGAGAAAGAATACGTGTGTGTTTTTGTGCGGAACATAAAAAGGCAGTAGAGCTGTACGAGAGTTGTACGCTAATGCATTCTCGCATGTAACAGAAAATTGGAAGACACAAAGACAAGCATTAGAATTCCAAGGTGTACTACAAGTAATGAAGAAGACTATAGAGAGGGAACTTGCCGAAGGTAACCCATGGTAACTGAGCTCCTATCAGGTGTAGGAATGGACACAGCTTGTGTAAACCAAAACACAGTGAAAGGATGTCATCAAGCCTTCCCACGTTTATTTGAACAAACGCTTTCATTTCTGGCTTAATACACTCTTGTACCATATATAATACAAAGCTTCTGAAGAGTTATTAGACTTATTTAGGTTGCAACGGAAGTTCATAAAGGGAAACTTGTTCCCACCATGTGCAACTCAAAGACACAGTTCACGAGAAAAATGATCGTGATACTTCCCCCCCCCCCCCCATAGGATGAATCCGATAATGGGCCAGACATC